TTGCACATAGACAGCATTTTCCTATCAGTGTAAGAGCACTTAAGGATGCTTCAGGTTGGGATATCTAAGAAAGCTGGTGCAAGTTCACTAAACTAGTCTACTGCAAGCCATTTCCTTCACCTGTGGTTTGTCCATCCTTGCTGTCCTACTGCACCTGATCTCTGGACTAGAACTGTTAATGTTAATTTGTAGGATTAATTGATTGTGATGGGCTGACCACAACTGTCTGCCAGATGCCCATCCAGCTGCTCTCTCGCTATTCCTCCTCTACAGGACAGGGGAGACAATAAGGAAAAACCTTTTGAGTCAAAATACAGCCAAGTAGATTTCTCATCTGTTACTGCCACAGGCAAAACAGACTTGACCTGGGGAAAAGTCATTTATTACCAATTAAAACAGAGTGGGATGGTGAGAATCAAAGACAGAACTGAAAAGAATTTTCCCCTCCCATTCTTCCCAGGCTCAACTTAATTTTTCCCTTCATGACTCATCTATGTCCTCCTCAGTCCTGCAGCAGGATGGGGAATGGGAGTTTCCATCAGTCTGTAGCAGTTCCTCTCTGAGCTTCTTCCTCCTCATACTCTTTTTCTGCTCCAGCATGGGTGTTCCCCATGGGCTGCAGCTCTTCAGGCTAAACATGGCCTAGCATGGGCTCTCCACAGCTTGCAATTCCTTCTGGAAATAATCCACCTGCTCCAGCATGGGGTCCTTCACGGACTGCAGTGTGAATAGCTGCTCCAGCATAATCATCTCCAAAGGCTGCAGGGGAATACCTGCTTCACCATGGTTGTCTCCACAGGCTGCAGGGGAGTCTCTGCTCCAGTGCCTGTAGCATCTCCTCACCATCCTTCTTCTCCCACCTTGGCACTTGCAAGGCTGTTTCTCTCACATATTCCCCCACTCTCACAGCTGCTGCACAGCATTTTTACCCTTTCTTAAGCACATTTTCAGAGGCGCCACCGTCTCTCTGAGGGGCTCAGATGTGTCTGTGCTGGGTCCACTGGAGATGGTTGGAATGGGCTGTGCTTGGTATAGTATAGCCCCAGCCTCTCCTCCCAGAGGCCACCCCTGCAGCTGCCAGCACTGCCAGCACCTGGGCACTTGCACCCGATGTATCAATATTGAACAGAAAATGCAGTGCACAGAAAAAAGATCAATTATTAGTTGTTATTGTACATAGAAAACAAAAGTTTTGTTTTGGACATCTCTGCTCCTTTCACTCCTTTCTCAGCATTCCCTTTGTCTGACCCTGGATATTACTTTCTCCATTTCTGCTTCTCTCTCAGGTCTGCACACTTCTTTCCAGCAGCTTGAGTATGGCCTCTCCACCTGTTTCCTTCTCTGTTCTGTTTGCTTCCATGCTGTCCTACCCAATCCAAGAAATTACTTTTGTCTTCCCTGCCCCATTCCCTCCTAGTGTAACTGTGGCTTTTCTGGCAACATTTCCAGCCTGGGAGCTCAGGGACCCCTCTGCTCAATGACCCTTCTCATGCCCTCAATGCCCCTGAACTATGCAGACAAAGCCTTCAGTAAAGATCCCTATGTATAGAGAAAGTCTGAACAATCGATTTAGTTCATTTAACACCGTTATTTTAAAAAATCACTATACTTCAGCGACCCTTTTCCTTGGGTCTGTTCCCAGACTTCTAACAACCCCTAGTGCCAGCTCCCCAGCAACTCTGGTAGGAAATGCTGCCAATCTTAAGCCCTCATTAAGCACCCAGCTCTTGCTTGCTGCTTCTTTCATCTGCCTGCTCATCCAGGAGCCAGCAGCTGTCTTTTATCCAAATTCCCCCTTTTTTCAAGGGTCTGTTGTGATCTGAGAGCTAGCTAAGCACAGACAAGAGACCTGAGGCCTCCAAGAGTTCCTCTTGGCTTGCCCTCTGCCATGGACCACTCTGTGCTGGGCTTAAGCACTTTTTTCTCTCCTTCTGCTTCCTCATTGCACAGACTGGCAGTTAAGACAGATTTAGCTGTCATACTGAATGATATGATTACCCAAATTGGTTGGCTGTGGTTTCATTTCTCAAGTAAATGAAAATGGAAGACTATAAGACTGAAATGATACATCAGTGAATCAGACTCTGTAAATCATTCTTTAAAATTCAAGTGAAAGCTCAAACGCATATTTAGAATGGTGGGTAATATCAATTAGTTTTGAAAGAGAGTATCGGCTGGAGTCTCTGGGATTGGGAAGCTAGTTTTGAATTGGGAGACATCTACCCTAAACTTTCAATACCACCAAATACTGAGACCAAATTCAAATTGTGAGGAAGGAACAATTAGCCAGAATAACTTACATGTGATAGGATTTTAAATGACTAAAGATATTTCCTCCTGATTTTAGAGACTGTATTAAACTACCTGGTGTTATGCTGACACCAAGGCTTCCTGCAGAGCTTTATGCTCTCATGCTGTGCCGCAGGGACTCCTGTGTGGTTTCACACTCTGTGAAAGTGGCTCTTGACTGCCTGTATGTAAACAACAGCTTAATGTTGGGCACTGTGGGGCCAGTGGCCAGGGGGCTCTTCCAGAGTTCACCAGGGCAGAGCCTGGCAGTCAGGGCTCACCCCACCACCCCAGACAGGAGCAGGGCAGCCCCGGCCCTGAAGGAGGGCAGGGCAGGGCTGTAGGCATCTGGAGACTGACCCATGAACAGCATCACTGAAGCAGGGGCTGATGGTTCTGGGGGCTAAAATGGGGTTCTGGGCCATGAGCAGAGTCATGAGAACCTCTGGGATGGGTAGGGGCAGTCAGACATGGCAGCGTTTCATGGACATGACACTGAAACAAGTTGCTGATCCGTAATGAAGTGCAGCCTGTCTTTTTCTTCTGGAAACCTTTTTATACAGCAACACTGACAAAGGGGCTGTTTGGGTATCCACATAAATCATGCATCAGACTCATTGCAGCTGAATTGTCAATACAAGTGTCTGCCCAGGCTACATGCTCCATCTTTTTCCTCCTTATTCAGGTTGTCAGAGGGTGCGAAGTTGCTAGTGGACCTAACGTCTTGTTAGCAAATGTTTTTTTACTAGCTCTACCTTTATTCAGTTCATTCATACGATGTTCAGGTGTAACTGTTGAAGGACTGAAGTTGTACTAAATGTAATATGCTGCTGAAGCAATGGAATGTGGAGTAACAAACTCATCTCATGGTCTTAATGTAAAAAAAAAATATGGAAAACAATAAAGATTTTACTTAGGCATTTATAGAACCATAGAACCATAGAATAGTTAGGGTCAGAATGGACCTTAAGATCATCTAGCTCCAACCCCCCTGCCATGGGCAGGGACACCCCACACTAAACCACGCTATCCAAGGCTCTGTCCAACCTGGCCCTGAACACCAACAGGGATGGAGCATTCATAACTTCCCTGGGCAATCCATTCCAGTGCCTCACCACCCTTACAGTAAAGAACTTCTTCCTTGTATCCAATCTGAACTTCCCCTGTTTAAGTTTTAACCCATTACCCCTTGTCCTGTCACTGCAGTCCCTAATGAATATTTTCTCCCCAGTGTCCTTCATAGGCTCCCTTCAGATACTGGAAGGCTGCTATGAGGTCTCCACACAACCTTCTCTTCTCCAGGATGAACAGCCCCAACTTTCTCAGCCTATCTTCATACAGGAGGTGCTCCATTCCCCTGATCATCCTCATGGCCCTCCTCTGGGCTTGTTCCAACAGTTCCATGCCCTTTTTATGTTGAGGACACCAGAACTGCACACAATACTCTAAGTTAGTAATTCTGGATAACCCATACTCTGCTGGGTTATCCAGAATTGCTTGATAACTAATAGTCCCTTATTAGACTATCTGTGCCAGTTTAATAGTGTGATATTTGCGTTACAGCAGTAATTTAAAGGGACTTGCAGACACAGGAAAACTGCTGTCAAGAGGACATGAGAAGTTCTTTCTAAATGGTTACATTAATTTCTCCAGAATTGTATTGTAAGTCATCCTCTTTGAATTAGAAGCTCATATGAATCAGAAGCTTACAATGACATTGTGTCTTTTGTAAAAGTGACACTTCAAATAAAGCTGTATCAAAGTGCTATCAAATGATGAACGCGTAGTATCTTCATAGACGGCTATCTGCTGTAATTACCTTGAGAGAATTAAAAAGCAGACCCTGTGCCTACTCGGGGAAAAATTTTGTTTGAATAAATGTATCGTTTGAAGAGTTTAGTTCAAATGTGACTCAAAAATATTTTTTAAAGAAAATATTGGCTTGAAATATAGATGTTTAGTACTGAAGCAAAAGTACTGGAAGTGCCAAGCCTCCAATGCTAAACCAAGGCCAAAAGTCTTGCCAGGACCATAATTCATGTAAATAAGATTTTTCTCACATAAATAAACTCTAAGCTATTTTTACCTCGCAAATAAACTATGTGAGTCTTGCTATTTTGTGAACAGAATCAAACTGCTCTGCAAGTCTGTCCCTCACTGGTGTACTGACTGTTCCAGTGGAATTAATTCCCTTAGGTGATTTTATCAGATTTGTTCACTTTGTTCCTGAACATGAAGTTCTGTTCAAACTAACAGAAACAGGGGAGATTTTCTTCTTCAGTTTTGCAGCAAGTGACTAGGAAGTGTTTCGTTGCCACAGGCATGTGAAGTTCTGTGGGCCCTACCAAATGAGACATCAATTGTAGTGTTGCCTGTGAGTTCCACGAGACTGGATTTTCATTCCAGGCTTATTAGCTCCTGGTAGGATACAAAATGAACTTATTTCTCCCAAAACCAAGGTACAGTTCTGCCTCCTAACCACTTGTAATTTAAAGCTGGGCAGATGAAGGGAAGTCCCAAAATCTGAGAAAAGTATTCACTGTTATACATTAATATATCAGCGTAGAGTTTCAAAAGTTACTTCAGTAAAATACAGTGAAGGTTTCACAAATCATGGCTTAAAGAATCTCTCCAAAAAGCAACATAGGGAAATACATGGAGACATTAGTATGTGAAAGAGAAAAACATTTCCTTGGAGACTGCACAACTAGTAAAATGCAAGCCAAATTTATGGCCAATTAGGAGGTAGCCTCAAACCATATGTTCAGGTGTTGCTCAGGCATCATGACATGAACAAATGCTTTGGGATGTTGTTCTGAGTATATCTACAGGTAAGACCAGGTACAGGCGACAAAGAATACCTGGTAACATCAGGTGGGAACCAGTTCTGGACAGTGCTTGGATCTCATGGCAATCTGAGCCCCTATGTTGCTAACTGCAGAAAATGACATAGAATAACACCCGCCCAAAATTTGCTGTCTAAACGTTGACTTCTTTTTTCAATAAGCTACATGGAAAAAAAAAATCACAGTGGGCCATAACCTACATAACTAGGTCTGCTTCATATTTTGCAGGTAAATACCGTGGGGGAGGCTTGGGGATGGTGCTTGGAAAGACGGGACAGCCTGGGAAGTACTGTAGCATCTGGGCTACTAGAGGACAGTTTGGTCTTCCCTTGAAGTAGAGCCAAGAGGAAGGGGATCAAAAGTGTGCTTGTAGGATGAATTTTGTATCTTATCTTAGGTGCCTTTAGGGTCTTAGGTCGAGGGTGAGACTGAGGTAATAGAAAGGAGGGAATGAACCCAGCTGTTTGGTGAGAGTTTGTACTCCAGACAGGCAGTCTGAGGGCTCCTGGTGTAGGTCTGGGACTATGGCAGTAGAGTTCCAGCACTCCCAGCCATTTCTTGAGGCTGCAGCACATACAGGGCAGTGAGGAAACCCATCAGACAGGCTGGATGTCTGGGATGAGGGAGGGAATGGTGCCTTCTCCAATGCCCTTGCCTCTGGCCACTCTCTCCTTGGCATAGCCTGGGGGTCAGTTTTTGTGGCCAGGTAGGAGCCCAGGTCCAAAGCAAAGTACTGGAAGTGCAGGGGTGAGAGCTGGGCTCTGGGTCCTAGAGTCTGTGAGTGATTATTCCCGCTTCTCTATTCCCTGGGCCTGGGGATGCTGCGAGGAAGGCTGGCATCAAGTAGTTCCTGAGACTCTAATGTAGGTGAGGGTAGACAGACGAGAGCTGAATGTAGCCAGGTCCATGTCAACATTCTTCTTCCAAGGCAAGCCACGCTTGGCTCAGGACTACCCTGAGATATCACACTGGTGTGGTAGAAGAAAGCAGAAGCTGGTGGCCTCATCTGGGGCCTGCTGTAGCCATGGCCATGGCCACTCCCAGCCTGGGCTCTCACATTTGTCGCTTTCCCAGCCCTAACTGCCAGTGTCTCCACAAGACAAGGAGTCCTTTGCAAAAGACTTTATACAGGATTTCAGTGATATGTTTTACTGATGAATTTTGGATTTCGACATGACCCTTGCCTTGATTGTTCCTCTAAATGTACTTTTTTTTTAATGATTACTTCTTCATGTGTAGGCATTATGAAGTTAATTTTTTATTGTACGCATTTGTTGAAATTTAGATTTGAAGAGAACATGGAGATTTTGCATCTGTAGAGTTAGAGTGGACTTCCTTAAAAGTTGCAGTGACTGCTACCATGGTGGAGGCTACTTAGATCTCTTAACTGTGTCTGGTTTAGGGAAGCAGATGGAAAATAGAAATTTGAGGGAAGGCACATTCAGTACATATTTTCTGTGTTTCAGATTTAATATCAGGGCTGCCTAAATTACAATTTTCTGTCCATTATTTGTTATCATTTTGAACCTCATCAAATGTGTACGCAGGGTTTTATGGTACTGTAGGTCTTTTGTTTTGCCTTGTCTTTCATATTGTACGTTTTTTTCTTCCCTCCCTCCCCTAGGTCTAACTGTCATTTCTTGCTGTGCACCTTTACATTTGTTCTGCTTTTGATGGAAAGGAAAAACTTCTCATTAAAATAAAATATGTGATTACAGCTGAACTCCCTTCTGAACTCACATTTCATAGATAAAAATTCTTTGTAATAAATATATAGGTTTGAAAATTTTTCATCTCAGTATCTTTTTTCTCATTTAAGATATTTTCTTTGCTGAGTTTACAGAGGCTTTCTGGTTTATTGTCCCTTTCTTATAGTTTTATCTGTAAGCCTAAACCCACTTGAATATGTATGGGTGGGTCCATATTCCATATACCTTGAAATTCCTGTTTTCTTAGTGTTCCACGAAAGTAAATTCTTCTATTTATCTATAAATTCTGATAAATGTTATTTTTTCCTCTCCTTGTTCTAGCTATGCTTTGGCATTCTTAGTTTCATGGCTGTCTCTTTCTAAATATCGTTTCTCTGGCAGAGGTGAGTAACTCCACTGACTTATTGTGATGTTAATTTCTTGCCATATGCTCTGGACTGCTCCAGGATGTTTTGCTGTAGAAAACTCTTCTGCTTTGAAGCTTTGTGAGTTTTGTATTATTTTGACAGGGACAATTCAAAATTTTCTCGCTAGGATTTTGTAAATTACAAACTGCTTTGTAACGTCCTTCCATATTGGCTAGATGATTCCTTACCCAAGGTGTTTGACTTCCATGGGAGTATTTGAGCTTTGGCTCTGGTATTGTGGTTTTTGAATTCTTTGTTGTGGCATGTTAGAAAGTCATGACTGAGTCAAAGTCCTTTTACTGTCTGTGAAGCTTATTATTTTATTAAAGCAAACTGTCCCAGGGACTTCCAATCGGGACATGGCAAGCTCAGTAGTTCCATTTCGTAGTCCAGACCTGGCTTTGGGGTTTTAAAATTCAATATCTGTCTTTGCTGCCACAACAACTTTATGTTGGAAAAAAGTCTTCAGTCACTAAAAATAGACTTTAAACCAAAATATATTTATCTCTTTGACTTACACTCCAAAATTCTGTTTGAAACTTAAAGAACACTAATTGCATGATTTGTAAGGAGACTAGAAGTTAAAGAACAGTCATAAATTCACTTTTCCAGCATAATCCAGTTACAAGTCCGTATTTTCTAATTTATCATAGACTTTCACAGAAATGTGCAGTTTAGAAAAAATTTTCATTTCATTGTGGTTTAAACAACAGAATTTGAAAGTAGTATATGCCTTACATTAAAATAATTGATACAAAGTAAGTTGGCAGGAACTCGTCTCTGGGGTAATGCAATACTCAATGCAGAAGATTTATATTTGATTTTTTCTAAAATGACATAAGATAGTTGATAGAGTTATTTTTTTACTTGCATGAAAATTGTTGGCAGAATTAACTTAATCAGCAATAATTCTGGAGTTCTGGCTGGTAAAGATTTGTTTGCATACTTAGTTTTTATGCATTTTCAGTAGCCCTAAAATCACACAATGTATCCTGTAAGCATAGTATTACTTTGGGTATAATTGTTGGTATTTTTAAGTCTGATGTTACACAGCACTCCACAGGTATGCTTCTATAATCTTCACTTCTCATGGAGTTTACCAGTTCCAGTTTGACCTGGCACAGCAGAACATCTTCTTAAATGTACTCTGTAATTCTGGGCTTCGGAAGGCAAAAATCATGGGGTCGATGATCGCATTGCACATTATGAGTGTCCCATTCACATGGAAAATGGACATGTAGCAGGCACAGTAAGGGTTATGTGGGCAAAATCTTGCTAAGAGGATGTGAAGAACAAATGGGGCCCAGCAGCAAAGGAAAACTCCAAGAAAAATAGTCAGTGTAATTGCTCCTTTCATGTTAGTTCTCTGATGGACTGTGCTGGTCGGCAGTGAGGCGATCTTTTTAGCATGAGATCGAGCCAGCAGGAACATATGGACATAGAGACACAGTATAAAAAACATCATTAAAGGGAACAGGATGGTGAAGGGAATGACTGTTGCTGCTTCATAGGAGAAGAGGGCAATGGCAATGCTACTGCCAGCACAGAACGTCCAAATGATTGCCAAGATAACCAAGGCCCTTCTTAGTGTCATGATATTATGGTACCGCAAAGCATAGAATATAGTAATGTATCTGTCTGCTGCAATAGCTAGCAAGCTGAAAATTGACCCCAGTAAAGACAGAATGAACATGGAATCCATGGCATCATCCAGCTTTTTCTCAAAGTCCCCACGACGTGTCAGGTACCCCATTTTGCACAAGATGATAAAGATGTTCTCCAGAGTTTTGTACAAGCTACCTAACATATCTGAAATAGCTAAACTGCAAATGAAGAAGTACATGGGCAAGTGCAAGTTCTTATTTCTAACAACAGCAATAAGGACAAGAAGATTTTCTAGTATTCCTGCAGCAGCAACAGTGAAAAAAACTTCCTCTGGAACCACGATTGGGGTGCAGTCAGTGATATTTAAGGAGAAATCACTTCTGTTTTCAAGGGAAGGAATGCTTGTTTGCCCTGCATGTTTGATTAGGTTGGAAGGTCTCTCAGTGATCATTTCTTCTGGTTGTGGAAATCTTGTTCAGGCTTGGCTTTATTCTGAAGTTGACCTGTCAGTCAGAACATTTTTCTTTTGATGAAGGCTTTCTCCTTCATCTGGAGCAATTTTAAGACTTAACTGAAATGTTTGGAATTTCTCCTACAATAAAACATGTAGAAACATAAATATCAAGTATAAATTTACCACACAGATATAGCAAAAATAGACATTTGAAATATTACCTATTGCAATGGAATGCATGTATATCATCATCTGAGAGAGGCAAAGTTGTTTTGGATAAAATAAGAACTTCTCTGCTGTTTCACTGAGCCTTAAAGGAAAACAAAGTGTAAATTCTCTTTTAGCTTCAAAGCAGTTGTAAAAGATCTATGTGGTTTTCTTTACCAATGAGCAACTCACGTTTACTGAAACTGATCTGACAGACTTCAAGCGTTTGGCAATCTTTACCGGCCCAGCTGTTTGCTTTGAGAAAGTCTGGCATTTCTCACAAGATTTGCAGTATTATTAGACACAAATAAGACCAATGCCAACATAAACTGTTGTCCAGAACAGTAACATGTTTACCACTGCAATGTTGATGGTGAAATGAAATGCCCTCAATTTAGATGTGAACATTTGTAAATATTGATGTTTTTAGAGGCATGTTAGATGAAGTAAGATGCTTTCGTTTCATTTAAATTGAAACTGTCTTTGGATTTGATGAACACATTTCTAATGCAGATTAAGATTCAATGTATGATCTTTTCTTGGCTGTTTTACAACTGCCTAAATAACCAAATGTTTATTTCAGCACCAAGATGATGTTTTCCTTTCTCCACAATGATCCTGATCTAAACTACATTATAGCATACAGAAGTCTTTCAAAGGATTAGGCTTTTTAAGATTTTTATTAATGTATAAATAGATTTGATATTAATTTAGCTTGGATATCACCCATAAACAGTAAGACCCACTTTCTCTTGTCGTATTTATAGCCCCACTTGTGAAACACAGATGCTGTTGCTATTTGGGAAGTCCCTGTTTTTAAAGGACTGATATGTTCTCTCTCTATTTTTAAGTTTAAAACAGCTTTGTTTGACACTTTCACACCAAGAAGTCTCGAAATTCCTTCGAGCGTTTGTTCATAGTCATGCCTGCCAAACATCATGATCCACTCTGTTACTGTTTCAAAGGGAGATTTCAAAAGTTCTAATTATTTTGTACACAAATAATGCTCTCTGCAAGTGTCAATAGCTACCTGTTGTTGTGACAGCTGAACTTCTTCTTGAATGTGATTGGCCTTCATGCAGATGAATGTGTTTGTTTGGCCACTTTTCAACAGAAAACAAGTTTCTGACCTGGGTTTGCTAATGTTACCTGTTGAGACTGTCAGTAAGGTGCTACTTGTGGTGGAGAATGCTGAGACTTGGGCAAGCAGCCATCTTGAATTCAACTGAAACAAGTTCACTTAAGAGAAAGCATTCAAAGAGTGCCCATGCTTATCTGAAAATGAAGGCTGTGTAGTGGAATAAATGAACCATATTGAACTGCAACAAGCATGGACATTCCCAGAGACAATTAGATCAACATCTGTTGGCATGTGAAAGAAAATTACTAGCAAGAATAAGAAACTCAGCACTGTCTTCTAATGATACGCTTTTCCTATTCTCACCTGGACCTGCTGTCACGGTTTTATGATTTCTAATTCAGCAATCTGTTTAACAACTTAATTTTCACTCTTAATAGAAAGTCAACATTGACACTTCAGACAAAGCCTCATTTCAATGGGATTTAAGCACGACAATCATTTGGCAAAAATGCATTTAAGTCACTACTCTTTCCGAACTGTTTTTCAATAATGCTTCTTTGCTGATAGTCACATTGCCGAACTAATCTGCTGACAAACATGAGCGTTCCTTCACTGAAAAATTACACTATTATGAGTGGCATGATATATTACATCTGCTGCTTATAACTTTACAGTAACTTCATATTAAGTACAGCATTTTGTTAGAGCAGAGAACCTATAAGGGCTTTTGTTCATTTACAGTACACTAAATAGTTACATTGTATGACTTATTGCTGTTTTCAAAAAATTAACAAAAAGCCAGAAAAAGACATTCTTGTTTCAGAGATTCTAATTCCAGCATATATACATAGCTATTGCATACTATATTATTAAGGTTCCATCAAGGATCCTCCATTCTCTCTTTTTCTGGTGCTTCAGTGTGTTGCATAGTCATATTTCTGTCTTAGAGCTCCAAGACAGAAATATCTGTGTATTCAATGTTGTACGCAAGTAGTAAATCCAGTGCTTGAGCTACACAACATACATTATATCATACATCTCCAGTAAGTTCCACATTTACAGGTTTCTTTCACTGCTACAAGTCCACCAGGTAGTGTGCATGGAGTAGTTTAACACCTCTAAGCAGTGTACGACAGTGAGAGCGCACATAGGATGTAAAACCTTTGTGAACATGATAAATGACCTCAGTGTGTCCTAAAAACTAATGGAAAAGAAGACATCTTGCAGCTTGGATGAATATTTCCACTGGCTATAGAAATTAAAGCCAAGGTAATTTCATACAAAGCTATAGGTAATCATCAGGTGGAAAGAGGTTTACCCTCCTGTGCTGTGTGCACTACCAGAGACAGCTTGGATGCAACAGATTTCCCATTCTTCCCAGTTTGCTTCATCACTGTATTGTCCAGATAAAGAGTTCAAGCCACTCACCCGCAGTACTCTGAAATACTTCAGATTTATCTTTTGCAGTTATCTGCAAAACCAACCCTTCACAGCTAGTGTTCACATGTCAGAACTGTTAAAAATCCAACAATTTAAGAATAAAAGAAATTGCCTCATATTAATTCCTGGCAATGGCTGAACTAAATGGATTGTACTTTTCTTGAGGTCATTCACAGTCTAACAATAAGTTTGCCTGACTGTAGCAAGAAATGTAAAACAGTCAAAAAGGAATAAATAACAAAAAGGACCTTTACATTTGAAACACATTTACAAATGTAGCTGTTTCACAAAAATTACAAAAACCTCAACTCATTCTTTTTCCTGTCTAAATTAGGTCCTGGAGGGAGAAATCAACAGCTCGATAACATTAGATGTTCGGAAACATTATTTATCTAGAAAGAGGCAGTTTCCTGAGCTAGTATAATGGGCAATGAGCTGATGGCAATACTGAAGTTACTAAAAATGCATACATTTGCAATATTATCAGCAATTTCTATCTGATTTGTAGTTATCTAAAACAAGAAAAAGCAGGAAACTGGGTGACTGGAAGCCAGCACCAGAAACTATACTGACGATATCGTACAAACTCAGAAAACAACTATAATTCAGATTACCTGTAAACTGTGTTCCTTCAGCATGATTATGTTTCAGGTCTTTACAACACCGACACTTGCAAAGCATATTTTCATTGGTATATATTACACAGCTAAAAACCAGCCCCAGTACTTCAGCTTGTGACAAAGCTAAGAATGTCTCTGTGGGTGCCAGGAGCACCATAGAGGATTAGCTTTGGACAAAAAGCTTATGTTTCTCCTTTGTGCCCAGTACCTATTAAATACAAAAGTTTAATTTTCTCTACAGTAGAAATGCAATGGCTTAGCACATGAAAGGTCTGGAGGTAATAAATCTGCGCTTGATTTTTTTTTTAATTGGATGAAAACTTTTCATTAAATAAATAAACAACTCACTTCTCTCAATCCCAAGATGTTAAATAAACTGTCCTTTTCAGCTATCATAGCGATGAAAGTAATTTCAGCTGTAAACTGTAATGATAAGATATAGTAAAGAAAATATGTACCCTAAATGCTGAGTAATTTCCCAGCCTTTTTAAATATCTATTCATTTTTTACTAGAAAACCATAGCCATACCTCCCATTATTGGAGAGACCCCAAGCAGTATTTGCTGTCTAAATAGCTGGTAGTAAATAAAAACTGAGAGTATGAAGTAGTCTCTTCTGGTTTTGGACTACACAAAACAGCTGAGATAACTAGCTGCAATATGTTTCTAGAACCATGAAATGTATTAATTCCCTGAACTTCTATGGATATATATATATTTAAAAAGTAATTTATTAGGAATGAAAAAGAACAAGTGTTTTTTTTTTGTTTCAGACACAGTGTATATATAATGTATTTCACAATCCATTCAGTACACACAGAAGTACTTGTCACTTGAAATACCATGACCTTTTCTCAATCCAAAAGAAGTCTCCATAATGTATTAATAAATGCATTCTAATGTCATTATCTCTAGCATGTCATCTCCAAAGCTGCCCAGTGTATAAACTCTCATTGTTTTAAATAAAAGTAGCATGGTCATCAGGTCACCTGTTAATCCATCCAGCTTGGTTCTCTTTCTAAAACTTGGTCATAGTGGACAAGCTGTGTGTGACTGGCTACACCAGCTGGTGCTGCTTAGGATGACCTTCTTTTTCTGAAAATGACAGAAAAAGTCCCATGGATGGGAGCTATCTACTTTTTCAGTCACTTCCATTCAAGCTGTTACAATCAGTTCAAGAAGGACAGGGAGCTGCTGGAGAGAGTCCAGCGCAGGGCAACCAAGATGATTTGGAGCATCTCCCTTATGAGGAAAGACTGAGGGAGCTGGGTCTCTATAGTTTAGAGAAGAGGAGACTGAGGGGTGACCTTATAAGTGTCTATAAATATATAAAGGGGGAGTGTCACGAGGATGGAGCCAGGCTCTACTCAGTGGCAAACAATGATAGGACAAGGGGTAATGGATACAAACTGGAACACAAGAGGTTCCACTTAAACTTGAGAAGAAACTTCTTCTCAGTGAGGGTGACGGAACACTGGAACAGGCTGCCCAGGGAGGTTGTGGAGTCTCCTTCCCTGGAGACATTCAAAGCCCGCCTGGACACATTCCTGTGTAACGTTATCTAGGTGTTCCTGCTCTGGCAGGGGGATTGGACTAGATGATCTTTTGAGGTCCCTTCCAATCTCCAGCATACTGTGATACTGTGATAAGGAGTTTGACAAA